TTAAAATTGAAGCAATAACTCCTAAAATTGTAATAGCAACAAGTTTTGCTTAAGATAATTCTTCTCCTTTTCCTGTATCAGTTATTGAAAATTATCCATAAGATAATCCAAATAAAATTCCAAAACAAATTCCCAATAAAAATATTGTTGCTAGATTTGTTATAAATTTTCTTTTGTATTATTCTAACAATGTCACTCCCAAATTTCCCCATAAAATATCTCCTGGTTCAGGTGCTTTAGATACTACAATAACATTATCTCTAAATCTTCTGATATCTTTCTTACCTATGACTCTCATAACTTAAGATAGAATAAGATGTAATCTTGTTGCTTTGAAAAATTTACAGACAGCATTAGCTTCATCTTCTGTATTATATGATATGATTGCAACACCACTAAATTAAAAGGAATTTTAAAAATTATCCTCATATTAATCTAATTGATTTGCTAACTAATCTAAAGTTTGGGTTAAATCAACTTTATTTGGTAATCGAGGAGGAATAGGTTTACCTAATCTTTCACATTCTAAAATCTTAGTAAATGTCTTCTCTTACTCTTGCTTTTATTTTAGAATTCTCAAATACTCTGATATCTAATATCCCATACAAATCTTTTGTATTTTATATTGAAGATTATTGATTTTACTAAAGAATTCCTTAATTTCTTCTTCTTTTGCATCTCTAGGAATATTTTCAACAATTATAGAATAATCAGATGCTAATATACTTTTTTCATCAATTTTATTTGCCAAAATATTAATTCTTTTTCTATATAAAAATAATAGTATTATTAAGATTAATGTTGTGATAAAGTTTAATACACTTCCTGCTATATCTGGATGTTAATTGTCTTGATTTGATTTTGCAAATTTGCTATAAAAATTTTCAACACATTCTAATTCTCCCATAACATTCAATTTATGACATGTATCACCTAAAGAACTGGCTATTAAATCGTATATTCCACAAATTATACTAATAAAAGTCTTATAATTATTTACATAAATGTGGATATCAATATCGAGCTAAACATTAAGAAATCAAAATATAGAGAAACTCCAGGTCCGTTGAAACTGAAATCTAAAATAGATGCTGTTAATGGTAATTAAGTAAGAATGATGGGTTAACCACAACAAGGACATAAATTGTTTTTATTTAAATCAACTTTAGCATCTGCTATTGCAAATTATGTGGCAGACTAAATAATTTAAATAATTTACCTAATGTTTAAGACATATATCTAAAAGAGGGGGTCTTCTAAATTCATCATAGTCTTCAATCATAGTTTCATTTGGCTAACTAATTCCATTAAGTTAATGTGTTTCTTAATCATAAGGAATAACTGATGTCATTTAGTAAATTTAGTTAATTTATATATATATATATTGAAATTGGAAGTATCATATGATATTTTAATAAAAATATAATTAACTATAATAAATTCAAATTTTCAAAGATATATTAATAAGCATAAATTATCTTTTATAGCAGATGGTATTATTTTATAAGAAATATTATATATAAATTTAATTAGAATATGTTCATTATATTTTTTCTTCTTGTTTTTATAAGAAGTTCTTCATTTATCTCAAAAATTATTCATCATTATAATTTAACTAAAATGATATATTTGAAGATTAAGATTTGGAACTTCTAGATTCTTTTGACTCTTTTTTCTCTTCTTTAACATTCTCTATAATATTTTTCCATTCTAATTTATCTACATTATTATCCATAAAAATAGTTGAAGTGAATTTCATTTCAGTAAATTTTTACAAAAGGTATGGTTAATTAAGTTATTCAATTTAATATCCTTTGTTTTCCTTTAAACTAGTTTTACGAGATTCATTTCGAATGAATCCCTTTTTTATATTAGATTAATTTAATTCGTGCGGTTGCTCGAATAATTATTATTCCATAGCTTTTTCATAATCATTTTAATTATTTTCAGTACAATATCTATGAATAAAACACAATTAACTAAATAATCCTTAAGGAATTAAACACATTTTTAAGTTATTTAAATGTAATAATTAATTCTCTATAGAATGTCTATTATTTCCTTTTGATATCTCATCTTATGAATTCTACATTATCATAATATGCTTTTCTAATTTGATACTATTTCTTATTATAAATGAAGGTATCAGATTTTATAATTTATGTTACAATAATTCTGATATTTAAGTATGACTTTTATCCATGGTTTACAAACAATTAGAACAAAATTAATTTAAAGCACCAATTTATAATATAATCCTTTCTAATTTAAATATCTATTTTCCAGAGATCTATTAAATAATAGAATTTAATATCCAACTATCTTCTTATAAGAGATCCTGAATTATTGAGATTAATAAAGTAATCTCAGAGTGAGATGAAGTAATATCTATATATTGACTCCATTATTTAAATAAATCATGAGCTTCACCTTATTTTAATAGTTTTTCCATATCTACACATAATTATTTATTTTAATTATATAATGGGAATCTAATATAAACTGGTTAATTTTAGTACTATTTAATAGAATAATAAATACATTTAAAAATACAAGTTTCATAGATGCTACTAATAGGTTTGATTTAGTTTGTTCTAATTATTTAGTTTTCTTATGTAATTCATAATTTTGAGAAAGTTTAGAAAATTTAGTTTAGTCACTTCTAATTAGATCCATATTTTTTTCATATTTATTTCTTCTATTAATCTCATTAATTAGATATTTAATTAACATTTCATCAGATATATCATCTGCAATTCTTTATTATGAATTTCTTAGAATAGACATTTAAAGAGTTTCAGATATATTTTAAGTATAATTGTTAAAGAATTCTATAAATAATTTAAATGTAATACTTTCTTTGTTTAAACTTAAACAATTCAGATAATTATTAATTAGAATAGGATTGCTATGATCTGGAAAGTATTTATTATATTAGACAAATAAATATTCTAACTGTATAATATGTTCTAATAATTCTTTAGTTTCATTTTCATCAAAACCAGGTGCATTTCTATTGAAGGTTTTGTATACAGAAGGTTTATTTTTTTAAAGATCAGCTTTTAAAACACTCTTTGATTATCTAAATTTAGATAATTTATCATTGTTATTTCCAGTTTAGCATTTTTAATAATTATAGATGGTTTTATTTAAGTTGTATGCAAAGTCATCGAAATCTATTAGATTTAATTTGTATTGAGAATGTGATCGAGTTGCTCTATATTCAGTTAATTCGACTAGTGAAATCATAAGTAATATATTAATTGAATTTTTTATACGATAACTATAAATATTCAATTTAATACGCAATAATATTCAGCATTATAGAATTAAATATTACATTTACTTTATTCACTAAATTTAGTTATATTAAACGTTATTTTGATTATTAATTTCATTATAAAAATGGAAAGTCTTATATATTTAACTCATCATCTTTTGGTGAAGAAGGTTCTTCTTATTATTCTTATTATTAAAGATTTTGTTATTATAAAATCTCTTTTTGATTTTCTAATTCAATCTACTTTTACAAAAAATCTGGATTAACAAATTCTCCAATTATTCTAGGTTAATCTGGTTCATAAAATATTAAACCATTTAATTCTTATCCTGATTCATTAAATAAGTTTAGATAACTTTTCATTTAATTATTCAAAGGAACTCTTTTTGGTGGAACTAAACTTTTAATAGTATTATCTTATTCATCATAGGGTGGACTTGTGATTTCAAAATTATTAGGAATCTTTATTTTATGATTTCCAAATATTTTCATTCTTTAATGTTTCTCATTTAAGAATTCTTAATATTTATCTTTTTTCATTATCTATAACCTTATAATAGATATTATTTATATACTCTTTCAATGCAGAATTATATTCAAATAATTTTGGCATTTTATCCCAAATTGTTAATAATTTATATGTAGTATGGACAATAGAAAGCCATTCAGAATCATAAAATAATTCTATTGGTTCATCATTATATGCAAATTATTCATATAAATCTTGCTTATCTTTAGTATATGTAAAAACTTATAAGAAATCTCTCCCTGCAATACATTTATCTAAGGCTAAGAATCTATTGAAATTGTTAATTCTCAATACTTTGTTTATTTTCCACTTTTGTGTTTTACTAAAGCTTCAAATTTAACATGCATATGTGCTGCAAACCAAAAATCTGGTTATAATCTTTCTAATGTAAATTTATGAGGCTGACTACCAAGTCTACCTGATTTTATGTCTGCCTCAAAATTTTATTTCTTTTTTAACAATTCCTTAGTTGATCCATGTTAATGTATTTCTATAAAATATATATTTTTTATTACATTATGGCCAATCATGAGATAAAAACATATTTACTTCTCCTTCATATAGACTTAATTTAAAAAGATCAACTTATTTTGTATGATATACAGAACGTAATTATTCACTTTTAAATGGAAATGATTCTAATTTAGGATTATTAAAATCAAAAATTTTAAATATTCCTGAAGTCCCTCCTAATTTAAAAGTAGTGTTTCCTTTTTTAATTTAAATGATATTAGAATCTCCAAGATAATAAATATTTGGAGCTACCCATCCTCCAAAATACCTAAAATTATATATAATTAAAAATTTACATTTCTCTTAAATAATTTGAAGCTTCATGATTACCACCAATAAAAATTGTTAAACAAGGGGCTGCTTCTTTTCCTTCATAATATTTATAAAATGTTCCCATTGATAAATATTTTATAGGACAAGCCATATTAAACATATCATGTTTATTTCTATGAGTTTAAACATCCCCACAAACTAAAAGTAAATCAATTTTTATTTTTTTTTATTTTTCAATCTCTCTAATTGTACCAAAAATTTCATCAAAATTTCCATGAAAGCATCCTTCAACTGCTATATTAATTCCTTCAATCTATTCAATCATATAAATGTTAATTTATATATTTATTTATATATAATATTTTCATAAAAATATGATAATTCTAATAATAATATATTGATATCTCAAATGCAAAATTCAAATAATAACAAAGCCCAGAATGCAAGAGCCAACTTCTTATTCTTACCTACTAAAAGTCCATAAGGTAAGAAATAAATTAACTCAAAATTGAGTCCTTTTGAAATCCCTAATCTTAAAATTTTCATCAATTACATTTTTTTATATTTAATATAATAAAAAAAATATATTTATAATTAAAAATTTATTTTTGCATTATTAAAAAGAAATAAATATTTATTTTGAACAAGATTTACAATATTAAATTATTATCCACTTCCAAAAATAAATAAATCACTTTATTTATTTTATTTTTTTTTGAAAGTCTTAACTTAATTTAAAGGCTTTCAATATTGTTTATAAATTATATACTATACAATATCATATATTAAAATATGGTTTCTTAGGTTTCTTAGGTTCTCTACTTAGATATTTAAGTTTCTCATAAATATAATCATTTTTTTCATGTCTAGTAGTGAATTTTTCATATTCATGTTTATCTAATATTCTCAATTTATAGTCATGCACTACAAAATCAATAAATTTCTATACATCTTAAAACCCTTTTGAGAATACCTATTTCTATTAAGTTTAAATTGGTTCTTCCTAAATAAAATCTATCTGATAGACAAATTACAATAGTCTTATCTTTTTCAAAAACATATAAGAATTTCCATATCAAAACTTATTTCATATATGTATAATGATATTCTTCTTTATCTAGGTATTTTTTAGTATCAGAAACAATATTTTATGTTTCTTTTTATAAATATAACCAATATTCTTCAAATATTTATTTAAATCTTTCAGGCAATTCTTATACTTAAATTGAAGGGAATTCTATACGCATTAACCTAAATAAATAGAAATATATACTCATATGCTTAATAAAAGGTTATTTGATATTCTTAATTCAAATTTTCTATAATATTGAGATTTTAATGTAAAATATCTACTAATTTACTTGTAATAGCTTTATCTATATTAAATGATATTTAATTATAGAATAATAACTATATTGCACATTTAGTTATATCTTCCTAATTTAAATATTATAATTGGTTATAATCTATTGTATATTAAAATGACTCAATCATGAATATTTTATCAATTTTTGTCAAATAATAAAGAATGTCACATTGTTTTGTGAAATCAAGTTTTTAGAAATTAACAACTAATTATTTGACTATACAATAATGAAAATACATTCTTCCTTATTAATTTTTATTAAAATAATCTCCTATTTAATAAAGTTAATGTAGATCTGAGGAATCTATATCAGATATTAAAATTGTAACTTAATCATCTTCTTCTTTCCATTTTCCTGATTTTTATTTCTAAGTTTTGAGTAGATCTAATGCAAATGGATCTTATGTTCCATCTAAATCAAGTTCATATTGATTTTTGCAAATATATGAGAATACTTATTCTTCAATAATTTAATATATTTCATAAATTGGATTATTCTATTTCTTTTGTAATTTAATTTATTTAAATCTATCAATTGATTTTAAAAGTCTAATAAATTAATTTAATTTTTCTGTTTATGTCTATATAGTCTCTTCTTTATAGTAGATTAACTCCTCTTTTATTAGACCTAGCATTTCTAAATGATTATTTACTTATATATAGATAAATAAAGGATTCACTTGATTAATCAATATTTATTCTAATGATTTATCTGTTCAAAATAGCAAAATCATCTAAATTACAATTTTTTAAAAGTGTTTCAATTTTTATATCATTTAAATTTTCTAAATTTCTTTATATTTCTTCTAAGATTAAATTAATATATATATTAGATTATCTCTCTTTATTAATAGATTAATGAGTTAAGTTTTTAATTGTATCACTTGTAAGTTAATAATAACGTTTTAAATGATCATAGACAAATTATTACTAAGATAAAGTTGTTAATTCTAATTTTAAAATTTCATCTTTGTATAATTTCCATAATGTTGATGACATATAATGATCTCCAACTATTTTAATTAATATGTTTAGATGAATTATTTAGACAGGAACATCTTTCTTTAAAATATTATGAATTTTATGTGATTTTATAGTTTTTCTAATAAAGTTATCAAGATTAATTGATTCAGATGCAATTAATATTTCATTGAATAAATAAAAATCAAGTTCATTTTCTTATGAATTAATCTAATCTATACTCTTTTTAATTTGATCAATATGATTTTAATTAATTTAAGACCAACAATTTCTGTAATTAATTGATTATAATAATTCAAATAAGTCTTCTTAATTTAGAGGATTTTATAATGCTTTTTCAATTATATTATTTAATTGTTCTTAATACTTTATGATAATTCCTAATTATTTAGTATTTAATTAATCTAAATTATTGATGTATATCTATGAAAAAAGTTTATAAATCTAATCTTATTCATCTGAAGATAAATAATAAAGCACTTTTTTTTCAATTTTTTCACTTAAATTAACTAATTTTTTTTCTGTAAATTATTACATTTTTAGACTCTCAATTAATTGTGAATAAATAACTGGGAACTACTATTATAATCTGGCCTAAGTATGGCTCATGTCTTTGAATTATTTAAATTATTCAATAGACTTTTTTAATGCTTTAACTTAATTACCATACATAAATCTGATAATCATTTATATGAATAATTCAAAATAAGAAATAATAAATATTATATATATATATAGATATTTGGATTATAATTATTTTATCATAATCCTAGTGGATCAGGGTTGCCTTAGACCAACCTGCATTTAAATCTCCAAATATCTAAGTAATTAACATGTCCAAATTTCTTTGAAGCATATGCGATAATGTCTTTTGCCAAATTTTCATGGAAAGTTCCTTTGATATCATGATATTGGCAATTGGCAGAAGCAAAATGGCAACAAATAGATTTTCTGAAACTACTTGACTAAATTTTTATTTTATAAAATATACTCTATTTTCTCCTGAACCATGAAATAGATATGGATGAAAGAAAACAATATCTCCTGCTTTCATTTCTAAATGAATCTTTGGAGCAGATTCTGGAGGCATATCTTTAACTCCCCAATAAGCTTTGTTAACTCCTTCTTTCCAATCAGGATAACAATGTTCAACAGGACCGACTAATGATACAAAAGTATAACTACCTTTATGAGTACCAGGATATACAACTAAACAGCCGTTTTCTCTATTGGCATCTTCAAGTGCAGCCCAACCAGCAGCTATTCTATCAGCTGGTCCAAATGGAAAATAAACTTAATCTTAATGAATTGGGTGTCTTGATGTTTTTCCCATATTAGGTGGTTTATTGATGAACATTGTATGAACTGACTTGATATCTGGTCCACAGAAGCTTTTCAAATATTAGATGACTTTTGGGTTTCTGCAAAATTTGAATAATATTTCATCCTCTTACCAGTCCTATATTTTTGTAATTGCTTCCTCTCCCCATTACTTACCTCCTCCTCTTTTGACCAATGAAATGTCTCTAACTACTTACATTCCATATTTGCGTTCTAATTATCCATCTGCATACTCTCTGAATCTTTGAGTCCACTCTTTGATTTCTTCAGGAGTGAACATTTATCTAACCACTAAGAAACCGTTTTCTTCATAAAATTATCTTTCTTCCTTAGTTAGAATTCCTCCATCAACTGTATATTAGAAGGAAGACATCTACTTTTAGAGCAACTCAAGTCTTTAACTCATTTTTATAATGAATCATTTTCTAAATTATAATCATTTCATAATGCAGATTAATTGATGCGTCATTCAACACAATCTTACTTCATACTTTAAAAAAATACAATTCAAATTTGAATATCATTCAATTATATTAATATAATAATGAATGATAGAAGAACTCAATTAATTTTCAAATAATATTTTATTAAAATACTAAATAAAATATAATTGAATAATTCATATTTGAATTGATTTAAAATAATATTTATAACTAAAATTGTCTTTTCATATTAAAATTTCTAATTCTGTATAACTAAACTATAATTTATATATTTTTTGATCAATTATATACTTGAAAGTTAATGAAATTTTTAATTCTATTATTACTACACAACCAAATAAATTCATATATATTAGAAATTAAAACTAGATGTATTTTTTAAAAGGTAGAGAAATGTAATATACATAATCTGTGTATTCAATATTAAGAAGATAAATAAAATTAATGTAAATTTAAATCAGAGAGAAATCTAGAGATTTTTTAATAAATTCTAAATTTCCCGCTTGATTTTACATTTAAAATCAATCAAAATTTAAATCATCAGTCATCCCTTCTTAAATTGAGTTCATTTAGTATTCATCATTTATAAATATACTTGGTGATAATATTTATTATACTTAAGATTAGGTCTCTTAAGAATAGCTAATGGAATCTTCATTATTATCAGTTTATTATAAGTCAGGATTAATTTTAAATAAAATTTTATTAATACATTTTTAATGAGTTCGTTAAGAGAAAAGAGGAAAGGGCTACGGAAACTCCTTTTTTAGAAGTAACGACACCCTTCTTCTTTATATTTTTTCATTTGATATTGTTAATAAATAGTGATGTTTATTTAGAATTGAATTGAAAATTAGTGCTATAGCTTTTTGTATATAGGGTAAAAATTTTGATTTTCTTTCGACAGTTTTGATGCTTTCGACAGTCTTTTCAGTAATTCTTGTATTTGTTTAAGCACTTAAAATTTTTGATATTTATTTATTAGTGTAACCTCGCTTTCTTAATTTGATTATCTGTCTTCTAATTTTAGGGTTTTTTGTGATTTTTTAATATTTTTTAGTCATAAATTTTATTAATAGCTTTATGAAATCAATTTATTAGGTTTTGAATTAAAAAAATTTAATAGAAAATAATTAATTAATTAATGGATAAAAATCTAGAAGTTTCTGATTTAAGTTCAATTAAACCAATAAGAGTTAGTAATAATAGTGAATTGATTTATTTTAATATTGCTAAAACAGTAAATGATTTTATATAGTTAGATTGATATCAATATTCTTTAAGGAGTAGAAATAGATTTACAAAATAAGGAAGTTCAAGTATTTTAAAATGGTGATGTTGCTTTTGGTGTTTAAGTGATAGAAGATATAACATGTAAACAAATAGTGCCATTATTCATAAATCATGGAAAATTTGAGAGTAATTAAACGCAAATAAGTGTTAGAGAAAGAAATAAGCAAAGTTGTAAACATATTTGAGACTGTACCAATGACTGGAATAAAGAGAAGAGCAATAAAAAAAATATAACCTGTAAAAAATAAGATTTTACTTTTAGAGAAGCTTAATAAATAAGAATTGATTGATAGATTAGGGGTTTTTCTATTTTTGTTATAAAATTATATATATAATACTTAATAATAAATTAACATAATATAAATTTGGAATCTATGAATTTCATATTTCTTTTAGTATGGTTATAATAGAGTCTGGCAGCTTATTATAAAGGAAATTATTTATTTACTGAGACTATAAAAGGAACATGTGACTATACAAGGAATAGTCAATATATATATAATTATAAAGTAGTTTAGTCTTATAAAATAGGATCTAGGAGGTAGTAAGATAGACGATGCATTATCGATAGGTTTTGGATTTTGGTTATTTTTTGATACTTCAAGATAGGAACTTCTTTATAATACAAGTAATCTATTTCATTTAAGTGATAATGATAATACTTTCAATTATAGGATAATATCATTTGGATTAAAGAAATATGGTGTAAATTCCACTTTAGAGTTATTTTAATAAGATTAGATTTTGAAATAAGGACCATCTATTAATATAAATACAGAAGTAATTATGGATGATAAATGGGTATTTGTATATGTTTCTTATGATTTTTTGTTTTTGAAATATTAATTAGGAGTATTTGATGTAGATTAATCTGTAATAATAAATGGAACATATTCATGTCCAAATTAATTGAAGTTTTGTACAAATGAAACATTACCTTAACCATTTTTAAAAAGAGAAAAGTTAAAATTATATATTGCATAAAATGGACCTTATAGAAATGATTCAATAAAAAGTAGATCATGGTGTGGTAGTGTATCTGGTTTTCAATATTATTTGGATGTATAAATGGTAAGTAATTATAATTTACATTCTTTAATGTATGGATTTGATAAAAATGGAATTTATTTAAATTATCCACTTACATAAATGAGTGGAAATTAACTTTATGATTTTAGTGGTGCAGAATTGGATGTTTAACATGATATAACTGTAGATTGGACAGATTAAGTTTTTACAATAGGATAACCTATATCTATTAATATTCCAATAAAAAGATTTCTTTATAATAGATTTTCTTTATCTTTTTGGTTGAAGGTTGATGCTGGAATTAATTTTGCAATACTTTAAAGAATGGTTGATAGTGTAATTATGTTTGAATTAGATCTTACTTATTATGCAATAGATAATTATTATTTCTTTACAGTAATAAGGGAAAATATTAAATCTTCAATTAATGTATAATTTAGTGTAAGTTAATGGAATTATTTTGTACTAATTTTTAATTATGATAAAATATAATATGAAGATGGAACTTTAACTAAGTTAACAGTATATAAAAATAATGAAGATCCACAATTTTTTGATTTAGCTGTTCCTGTCTATTATCCTGTATAAGATAGTGATATACTAATATTTGGTAAAAGAGATGCAATTCCTGTTGGTAAGACTCTAAAGATAGCTAATTTCTAATTGCATTAAGGAGCTAGAGTATTTAGTCATAAAAGTAAAGAAGCTGGAGATACAACATGTTTATTATCTGCTCCAAAAGCATTTTAATATAATTGTTTATTATGTTCAGATGGATATTTCCTATTTGAAAATAAATGTATAACTAGTTCTGATTGTACTAATAAAAATGGTGTAGCTGATGCAGTTAAAAAGCTTTGTCTACCTGGTTGTGATATGAAATGTAAAACTTGCAATAATCTAACACCAACAGTTTGTTTACAATGTATTAATAACTTAGAACTTAATAGTGGAGTTTGTAGTTGTCCAAATACTGGTTATATAGGAACAGGTAAATAATTAAAATGTAAAGAATATAATGAAGTTGAATCTACAGAAATTGGTACATTTAATGCAATACTTAATTATGTTAAAAGTGGTATCAATTATAGAAAAGATGAATTACAAATATCCTTTAAAGATATATTCACTAATATTCCATCTGTTATTGTTGCTATTAAAGAGATAAAGATATCAAAAGGTAATTCATTTAGATTGATGGCTACTCAAGTAACATAAGAAACATTTGTACTTTAAGTTGAAGTTTGGGATCAAACTATTATTGAAAATTTAGTAATTAATTATTTTGCAACTATTTAAACTAATTAATTTATTTTAATGTAAGAAGAATATGATACATCTAATTCATTTGGTATTGGTAGTGGAAATAGAATACATTAAATTTAGATTTTATTAAATGAATGGAATATGAAATTATAATATCCTAAAATTATTCCATTTTTTAATGGTATGCTATTTAAATAAGGAACTACAAATATTACTATTACTTAAACATCATCTATTGATACTGTAAATAGATATTTGCTTGTAGACTTTAAAATTAAAGAAGATATTTAAATTAATAAAATATATTATAGTTTCATTTTAATATCTGAAGAATTTGAAACTTTAACTTAATAATTTAATTCTTAAACAGATGTTTTATGGATTACATAAACTGGAGAACAAAAATAAAATAATACTATATATTCTTTTAAAAATGAATAACCTAATCATTTTTATGGAATATCTGTTATGGGATATTAACATGCTGATATTAAAAATATTGTTGTTTAAAGTGAATATAATTCTTAAATTAATAAATATATTCTCTATGCTAATACATATGATAATACAATTATAGACTTTTTATAAATATCAATAATTGGAATTGGAATTAATTGTTAAACTTATGGTTGTTCTTAATGTAAATCTTCACCAGTTGATTGTTTAACTTGTAAAGATAATCTTATGGATCCTGTTCAATAATGTTTGAATTGTGCAAATAATTAATATTTAGATTCAAAATATTCATGTTAATAATGCAAATGGAATTGTTTAACTTGTGAAGATGCTGATTAATGTCTAACTTGTCCTACTAATGTTAATAGATATGATGATCCTACCAATAATTGTCCTTGTTAAAATGGTTATTATGATAATGGTGTTTCACTTTGTGTTTCATGTGATTGGAGATGTGAAAAATGTGAACAATCAGCTACAACTTGTACATAATGTAAAGGAGCTAATCGTAATTCTGATAAATCATGTTAATGTAATGATTAATTTTATGAAGTTGGAACTGATTTAATTTGTAAAAGTAAAATTATTAAATATATATAGATTGTTAGGAACCTTGTGATTTATGTGATATTTTAGGATGTCTCACTTGTTTAGGTAATAGGGTTGTTAATAATAATAAAGAATGTGTTTGTCCTACAGATGGTGTACCTATAATGAAAAGTTAATATTGTGAAACTTGTGATACTGCTGAAGTCTTGGTTACATTATATCAAACAACTGAATCCATAAGTATATTCTTTGTCAAATCAAATACTTCATATGTTTCTTAAGAATATTAATCTTATAATCCATAAGAATTGTGCATTAAAATAATAGCCAATTAATAATTTTCAAGATTTGGATTAGGTCCTAAATGTTATTATAATGGTACCAATATTGATATAGAGTTTGGAAATGAATCTTAAATTAATCTAATGGAAGAAATTTAATTGATTGACAAAATATTCATAAAAGATAATTGTAAAGTCCCAATCAAAAAATATGTTCTCAGTATACTCTAATTTCCTACTATAGAAATCTTTTCACCTTCATTTACTATTGAAGGACCATTATATCCTGTTTATATATGTAAGTCAATTACTTTAAGTATAACTAATATTAAATTTGCAGGCAAACGTCAATTATCAAAAATAGACTGGAAATTATAAGAAAGTGATGCTAATTAAACTATTATTGATAATATAAGAATAATTTTAAGTGAGTTTAATAATAATAATGTGGATACTATAACATTTAATTCTAAAGTATTCTAAAATTTTACAAACTATACCTTTGAAGTTACTGCATTATCATTTGCCACTAAAATTAACACATAAACTTTTAAGTTATAAACTCTTGGATTAGTTCAGCCAGTCATCTAAGCTGACATAACACATTTTAATCATTACTTTAAATAGTCATTAATTATTCCAGTAACAGTTTATTATTAGATTTGTTAATCATCTAAAATTGTAGAATAATTTAATAATCTAACTCTATATTGGGTACAAATCGAATCCAACCCTACAGATAGTAAACCTTTGATTGGAGAGACTATCACAGAGTCAATATCAACTAAATAACACTATTTAAAATTGTAACCATAAGAAGGATACCCAGATACAAGTTACATTATATAAGCATAATTAATGTATCAAGATACAATAGAAATATTTGAAGAGTAAGTACCTGATGAGCAAGCAGATGAAGGAACAGATGAAGGTACTACAGGGACTGATGGTGGAACAACTGGAGCAGATGGAGGTACAACAGGAGGAACAACTGGAACAGATGGAGGAACTACAGGGACTGATGGAGGAACAACTGGAACAGATGGAGGTACTNGTAAAAGTAAAATTATTAAATATATATAGATTGTTAGGAACCTTGTGATTTATGTGATATTTTAGGATGTCTCACTTGTTTAGGTAATAGGGTTGTTAATAATAATAAAGAATGTGTTTGTCCTACAGATGGTGTACCTATAATGAAAAGTTAATATTGTGAAACTTGTGATACTGCTGAAGTCTTGGTTACATTATATCAAACAACTGAATCCATAAGTATATTCTTTGTCAAATCAAATACTTCATATGTTTCTTAAGAATATTAATCTTATAATCCATAAGAATTGTGCATTAAAATAATAGCCAATTAATAATTTTCAAGATTTGGATTAGGTCCTAAATGTTATTATAATGGTACCAATATTGATATAGAGTTTGGAAATGAATCTTAAATTAATCTAATGGAAGAAATTTAATTGATTGACAAAATATTCATAAAAGATAATTGTAAAGTCCCAATCAAAAAATATGTTCTCAGTATACTCTAATTTCCTACTATAGAAATCTTTTCACCTTCATTTACTATTGAAGGACCATTATATCCTGTTTATATATGTAAGTCAATTACTTTAAGTATAACTAATATTAAATTTGCAGGCAAACGTCAATTATCAAAAATAGACTGGAAATTATAAGAAAGTGATGCTAATTAAACTATTATTGATAATATAAGAATAATTTTAAGTGAGTTTAATAATAATAATGTGGATACTATAACATTTAATTCTAAAGTATTCTAAAATTTTACAAACTATACCTTTGAAGTTACTGCATTATCATTTGCCACTAAAATTAACACATAAACTTTTAAGTTATAAACTCTTGGATTAGTTCAGCCAGTCATCTAAGCTGACATAACACATTTTAATCATTACTTTAAATAGTCATTAATTATTCCAGTAACAGTTTATTATTAGATTTGTTAATCATCTAAAATTGTAGAATAATTTAATAATCTAACTCTATATTGGGTACAAATCGAATCCAACCCTACAGATAGTAAACCTTTGATTGGAGAGACTATCACAGAGTCAATATCAACTAAATAACACTATTTAAAATTGTAACCATAAGAAGGATACCCAGATACAAGTTACATTATATAAGCATAATTAATGTATCAAGATACAATAGAAATATTTGAAGAGTAAGTACCTGATGAGCAAGCAGATGAAGGAACAGATGAAGGTACTACAGGGACTGATGGTGGAACAACTGGAGCAGATGGAGGTACAACAGGAGGAACAACTGGAACAGATGGAGGAACTACAGGGACTGATGGAGGAACAACTGGAACAGATGGAGGTACTACAGGAACTGATGGAGGAACTACAGGAACTGATGGAGGTACTACAGGAACTGATGGAGGAACTACAGGAACTGATGGAGGAACAGATGAAGGGACTGATGAAGGAACAGATGAAGGGACTGATGAAGGAACTATAGAAGAAGTTATTCATCATTATAAAGAAATTAATATATTTACTTACCTTAATTTTACAATTGATATTGACTATGTTGGAGTTTCTGTAATTATTTTAGGAGGAGATCGATTTATTTCAGAGGGACAATCATTAACTTTAGAGGCTCAATATTGGGATGGATTAGATGAAGGATCCTCTTATAATAGTGATTCATCTATAGGATTATAGTGGAAATGTTTTTAAATAGCCACTAATCGTTCATGTGAGTTAAATGACGGAACTCCAGTTGTCTTTGAAGAGAATGTTACTAGTATCACTCTAGAAGGAGAAATATTTAAAATAGGTTAATAATATAAAGTTTCAGTAACAGCCTATAAGGATTTAATTAGAAGATATTTCACATATGTAAGCAATGTGATTTGTTCATTTAAATCAGTTGATGAGTTGATTCCTGAATTTCCAATTGCTGCTTAGACTAGATATATTGATCTCAAATAACCAATTACATTTACTTTTATTCCCAACTCAAATCTTATACAATTTTACAATTACACTATGATTGTAATTTATGATGATTAAGAGATTTCAAAACAATTTCTAAAATATCCTCAAAAAACCTTAAAATTAAATGATTATCTTCCAAGTACATTGCCTCTGTAGACATGCACAATTTAAATTATTCAGCAATCATTATCTTTTTATTAAATGGCAATCTTGCCCATTATGTTCAATCTTCCTCCCTAAAATGCTAAAATAACTATATCAAGCTATACTGGAGTAGCAATAGAAACTGAATATAATGTCACTATAGATGATGCAGAGGATAATGATCTCCCTTTATAATATAGATTAAGCATGTATACATCTTAATCTAATTATTAAGAGGATCTTGTATAATCAAATAACTTAAATCAAATAATTTTAACAGATTATCAATTTTCTAATTAATTCACATGTAGATTACCTTCTGGATTTGATTCTAACTAAACTTCAACACCATATATAGTACTTATGGCTAGTATTAAAGATTCAAGAGGAGCTGTTAGTAATGTGACTGTTCTAATAGGAAATTCACCTTAATTTAAATTATGGAAGGCTTATTTAATATCTGTAAATGATTTTAAAGCTTCAGTTACTTAATATTCAGGAAAACTTGATGTTATAGCTTCAAGTTTAGAGTTATTAGCTTTCTATTACGAATTCTTAAATTATAATTTTAATTACACAGACCTTGCTCCTACAATGAAGATTTTGTATTCAAAACTGAAATCATAAGTAATTAATGATTTGGATACTATCTATTCTAGAAATAAAATACTAAATCTTTATGATCGAACAATGTTTTAGATGTATTTATTAAATGAAACAGAAAAGTAAAGTCTCATTCAAACAAAATTATAATCAATTTTAGATACTTCATTCTAATATAAAACAAAACTTTTGGCTGCTCTAGCCTTATCATAATAAAGAGAATTTTATGGTGATTTGATAAGTTAAGTAGATATTGATTATGCCCATTTTACATTAATAGAATAATTGAAATAATTCAATTCAGTCCTTTCTTTCAAATTGAACATTACAGATATTGAATATACATATAATTTACTTACTAATACAACATTGAAGATGTGGAGATTGAATCATACTGAATAAGCATTAGAAATGGATGCTTAAGAAGAAGAAGAAAAAGCAAATGGTCTCACTATTGAATAATAACTTATCAAATATAATAATGTCTCAAAGTTTATTTAACCTTTTACAATTGAAGAATTATTTATATTTTCTAATTTAACTGTTTCAGAAATTATGACTAAATATAGAAGTCAATTTAATTTTACATCAAAATAATTAATAGCAATTACAGATTCATTATAAAAATTATGCAAAATTAATGATTCTCCTTTAGAATATAACACTTCATTTGTATCTATTAAATTATAATTACTTACTTATGATTATTTTAAATAATAATTCAATTTAAATGATAATTATCGATTGTTAACTTAATTAAATTCAACATATCACTATTTAATTGTTGTACATAAATATAAAATCAACCCTTATATGATAGATGATGAATTTTTTAATTTTACTGGAACTTTTGTATTTGATTAAACATTTCCTCTATACATACCTTTTATTTATGAGGTTTAAAATAAGACAATTATGAATTTAATAGATGAAATAGAATCAAATTAATTTTCTGTTGATTTTATTGTTCCTAATTCATCTTTAGGTATTCTCAACCAATATTAATGTGCATAAGTAAAATATATAATATTTATTAAAAATAGAAAAAAACAAAGTGGATTAGTGATGAATCTAATTGTACTAGAAGAGTAGAATATATTACTAAAATATTCTAATTCAAAGTTTGGTGTATTTGTCCATATTTTAGTGAAACTACTTTAATTAGACCTTTCTATGTAGAAGAAATTGCTTTACTGAAACCTAAATTATTAAGTAAATATGGACCTATAAATATTAGACTATTAAAATTTTATGGAATTTAATATTGGTATTTATTTAATTGGATTAACGGGAGCCTTATTATTATTATCAATACTTGGAGTAATTTTAGATAAATCAAATGCTGATAAAATAAAATAGGATGAGGAAGAAATGGAAAAGGAGAGAATTTAAATTATTTTTTCATATAGAGTTAAAAAAAGAAGAGCTTAATAAGAAGAAGAAGGTTCTAAAACATTTCTTTCAGAATCTAAAAGTTTTTGTAATAATTCTACTTAAACTGAATCTCAACCTATATATAGTAATAATGATATTGGGATTTAAAATTTAAGTATTAAATTTATTTTAATTGGAATTTTGGTATTATATTAATATTATTTAAGAAATTGGAAGAATTGGTTTCAGTTTTTTTGTATTATGATGATTATGTTTTAAGACCTATTAGGTTTTTAGCTATATATATGAAATTAATTGTAATGCTATCAGTATCTGGAGTTTTGATGAGTGAAGTTAACATATTTTATTAATATGGTGTTATTATTTTAGTATCAGAAATATCTGCTCTAGTAGTAAAGATTGTAAAAGCTATCTTTTCAGGAAAATTATTATAAATTATAGTAGGAACAATAGCATCACTTTGTATACTATCATTTTCCTTTTATAGCATAATTGACAGAGTAATTTAGAATTATTATTTATTTAGGCAATTGGAAAGGAGTAGTAATATGTGAATGATTGGATGCAATTTTATGGAATTTGCATAGGTATTTACTTTATAATATTGGATCCAATACAAAGTATTTTGAAAATGTTATTTTATCCATGGTGTAGAAAATAAATTGAAACATAATAAGAAACTCCTGTTTTACATTTAGTTTATTTCTTAATTACTTAGAATGATCTAAATACATATTTCAAAATAGTAAATGATAAAAAGGTGAGTGATGATTAAGAGATAGGGGATGCAGAGAAAGAATAATTTTAAGACAAAAAAGAGGATAATCTTTAAGAAATTTGATACATATCTATTAATCATTAGATAAAATAATTTAAAGCATTATTTGTTAATAAAATTAAAATAATTTAAAAATAATGAAAAATATAAGATAATCAATTTATTTTATTTTTCAGTAGAAGAAGATGAAACTTGTCATCTTTTAAAATACTTTAAATAAAAATAATATATTAGATAGGTAATAAATAATTAAATTCTATACTTCAAATTAATCAATTATTCCTTTATGAATTAAGTTTTCTAGTATTTTCTTAATTCTTTCTTGTTTCTTAATTATTCTAGATATATAATTAAATGATATAATACTCTTTGAATGGAATCTTAATTTTATTATCCTTTGGTTATGAGTAGATCTTTTTCTACTTTTAGAGATTTATTTGAAGAATGTGAAGGTAACTTATAACTTTTCTTTTCAGGTCCTAACTTCTAAATAGTTCCATCCTCTAAATTTATTGAATAGAATCCTTTCTCTACCATAAAGATTTTCTTTGGGGTTGTTGCTTTTGTATATTGAGACATTTCTTGTTTATTTTAAGAAATTATTATTAATTGAAATGAACCCACAACAATAATCAAAAACAAAAGTGTTTAATAACTAGTATGCAATAGTAAAAAAGCTTTCTTCTGGATCATTTGGAGTAGTATTTTTGGGTTAGGATATAATCTCAAAATAAGATGTTGCTATTAAAGTGGAAAAAGAAGAGAATGAGGAGGTTAAATCTTTAGATAGGGAAGTGTAAATTATAAAGATTTTAGATGGAGTGGAAGGATTTCCAAAATATTATTGGTCAGGGGAAGATCTTGGTTATAACATACTTGTTATTTAATTGTTAGGAAAAGATTTAGCTTTCCATTTCAAATAGCTTAAGAAATTCAATCTAAAATCAGTTTTAACTATTGGAATCTAAGCTGTAAATCTTTTAGAGAGAGCTCATTCAAAAGGAGTAATACATAGAGATTTGAAACCTGAAAATATGATGTTGGGAGTAGGGAATGAAATTTCTAAGTTATATTTGATTGATTTTGGAATCAGTAAAGTTTATAGAGATGCTAATGGAAGACATATGTAATTATTTAAATTAATTTTAGTATGTTTAAAGATTAAAAGTCATTTCTAGGAACCACTAGATATGCTTCAATAGCAGCTCATTTAGGTCATGAATTAGGAAGAAAAGATGATTTAGAGTCATTAATGTATATATTACTATATTTTTTGCGTGGGTAAAGAGTAATTATAAAAAAGTTAGTTACCTTGGTAGAACATGGTCAATGTAACAGATGATGAAAGAACATAAAAGGTTGGAGAATTAAAACTATCACTTGAAAGTGAATTGTTTAAAGATTAAGTTCCAGAGTTTTAAATGATTTTTAGGTAGATTTATTCATATTATATTAAAATAGTACTATTAGAAAATTACAATTTAAATAAGAACCTGATTATAGGATGATTGTATAAGAATTAAGAAAGGCTGCAGAAACATTAAATATTAATATAGATGGTAATTATGAATGGTCAGAAATCAAATAATCTACACATTATTAATCTGATACAAATTAAAATTTGAGTAAATAAAATATTTAGTTTAACAATTCTAATGAGATGAAAAAATCTATTGAAAAATAATTATCAGGTGCTATTTAACATGGGTAAAAGGATTTGTTAAATATGAGCTCTTAAAACTTTTTAGCACCACCTCCATTATCTTCAAGGAATAATACTTTTTAAAGAGATGATATTAGAAAGAATTCTAGTTTGACTTAATAAAGTAGTATTGGAAATTATTGTTAATCATTGAATCCAAATTATTAGAAATCAATTTGTGATGATCCTTTAGGGAGTAGATAGGATATTTTATAAAATAAATAATTAAGTTTTGATGATGAAAAGATATCAAATTTTGAAAGTAATGAAATTATAGAGAATATTGATGGTTAGGAGCCCTTAATTTAAAAGTATGAGAAAGTGAAGAAAGGAATTAAAATGTATATTTTTTATTTTTATTTTAGTAATCTTATTTAAAGTTTAAGAAAGAAATAAAAATGATAATACTAATATCCATTATGGATTCATCTTTTTTTCTAATCTTCCTATAAATATAATTTATTATATATTGTTTCATAATAGAAAATTATAAAAAATATCTGTAAGATTTTAAATTAATTTATAAAATTATGTAAATCATAGAACAAAATGATATATAAGAAAATGTGGAATAATACAATTTAGATGTTGGATAAGATTAAAATGAAATATTTGTTCTTCCAAATCATTAAATGAATATCTTATCAAGGAATGCTGTAGATAAATTACAAGTCAATATTTAAAGTTCCATCTCTAAATTTAATAAATTATTAATGAAAGCTTAAGATATAACTCTAGAAAATCATAAAAATTAAGATTTATGCTAAAAAGCTGTATAAGTAGTTTAAGTGGCTTCGATTGGATTAATGTAAATTATGAATATCAATTAATTACTTGAAAAAAAAAATTTAGCTGTTGAACAAAGTGTTAGTAGTTTAAATATTACATGTAAAACAAATTAATTGAATTAATACTCAACTAATTTAGTTCTAGATTATATGAATCATATAATCTTAGAAAAAATTGTAGAACTTATAGATAAGTTTTCATAATTGCAAAAAGAATAGAAAAGAAGTTTGGCTATATATTTAGCAAAATTATAGTCTTGTATTGAAATTCTACCAGGTGCAACAACAGTTAAACATAATGATTTATATGCTATACCTCCAGATCATTAAGATTGGTAAATGATTAATCCTTTTATTGAAAAAAAACAATTAGCTACTGATGAATAGATAAAGAAATCTTATGAAAAAGTCTCTTTTGGTATTCTACTTGGAAATGCAATGATTTCAAAAGGTTCAGAATATAGAGGTGAATTATAAAAGTCTTTTATGGAGGGTTTTGGAGCATTATATTATGGATTAAATAAAAAAAAGATGAAAAGTAGAGCTGATCATTTTTTAGTAGAGGCTAAATAAGAAGATGCTTTTAAAGCTTGGAATTTACCTGAGACTGGTATTATTAAGAAATTTCTACCAGCTATTTTCCCTTCAATTTCATTCAATAAGAAAATTTATATTCCAAAATTATTTAGAAAGATTACTAAAGAATATATCCTAGAATAATATAATCAAGGAACAATAAATAAAATAAATAATGATTGTGGTTTATTTTTTCCAGATTAAATGATATCAATGGATGACTTATTGAAAAATGATTTAAATTAAGATAGAGTATAAGTTAGAGTATTATGCCATGAAACATTAACATTTAAAGGAGTAGATGGATTTATGTCAATGTTTAAAAGTACTAAAAGTAAATAGTTTAATTTTGATAAAATTGTAATTCATATACGTATTTATTTATATTTATATATTTAATAGATGGAGGAGGTTTTGTAGCAATGTCATCAAGATCACATTAAACATATACTAGAAAATGGGCTAATAATATGAGAGTTCCAATCTTTTCTATTGATTACAAAATGGCACCAGATCATCCTTACCCTGCAGGTTTAGATGATTGTTGGCAAGCCTATATGTTTATAATTACTTTCATCTAGAAGTATTTCAATGTTGTTCCATCTAAAGTTGTATTAGTAGGAGATAGTGCAGGTGGTAATTTAGTAGCAGCTTTGACTATTTAAGCAATAAAGGCAGGAGTCAGAGTACCTGATGGTATCTTGTTAGCTTATCCTGCTCTATCTTTAGATATAAAAACTTTTACTCCTAGTTTTTTAGTATCTCTTGATGATTCATGTAAGATTATACATAATAATTAGTATTGCATCACACAGTCTTAAAATTATGTTTAAATTCATATGTATAGAAGGAATTCAATTCAACAATTGATCCTATGCTTTCACCTTCTGCAGTTAGTGAGGAAATCTTAAAATAATTTCCTAAGACACGAATTGTTGTAGGAACTTATGATCCACTTCATGATGAAAGTTTTAGATTATTACTTAAACTTGTTTAATTAAAAAAGGATGTTAAATTGATTGAATATTAATCTATGCCTCATGGATTTTTATCTTTTGATATAATTAATGGAATGAAAGAAGCTAAATAAACTGTTATAGATGCTTAAAGTTGCTTGTTAGAAATGCTAAATTGAAAAATTATATTATAATTAATTATTATTATTATGAGTGCTAAAAATTATAGATTAATTCACAATAAAACTTTACCCACATTCTAATATTAAAATGAGCCTTTGCAAGTAAATGACTAATATCAAGTCTTTATGTCTGTGTAGCCTAATGCTGTTGAATAATTAATCTTAAAAGATTAAGCAAAACCAAAAACTTCAATATTAGATAAATTTATAGATATAGATAAAAACAGAAGCAGAACAGCATATAATCCAGGAATTTTATAATAAAACGAATAAAAAAATGAAAAACCTAATTAAACTGTCTAATTTACTGATCATATTTAGACACCTTAATAAAATATCTAGAATTATAATTAGAACAATATAAATCATCCTAATAAGAAAACTGTTACATTAAAAAATCTTCAATAAACTTTATTATTTGATGAAAGGACTAATTCAGTACCCAAGGCTGCTATCTAAAATCATATTATTGATGACATAGTTAAGAATGGAGATATTATTCTTAAACAAAAGGGATTGTTGAATTAAGTTTAAAACTTAAAAAGGTTAAAGTTGCTTAAATAATATGAATTTAATCAGTAATAATCTTATCTATTTTCAGTTATTGTTTACCAGGAATTGGAAAATCACCTTATGTATTTAATGATGCTCATTCAAAAAGTACAAATCCTGGTTACTCAAGAAACAAAGAAGGTGGAAAATTTTTTACAAGATGATTTATTTAATAATAACAATAATATTGGTTTTTTTAAGTTTTTATCTTTTTTATTTACATCATTCTAATTATTTTAGAAAAAGTAAATTAATATTTCTTTATTTTATTTCATTTTTCCTAAAGACTTATTATTTTAATTAAGATTCTTTTTAATATAGTTTTAATTTAAGAATTTTATGATCATATGATACAATATATTATAATTTAAACTACTCTGTTAAAAGTAATTACAAAGAAATAATAATGATATTAAAAGTTTAATAATTCATTTTCATACCAATTATGAATTTAAACTATATCATCATCAATTATTATAAAAAGAAGATTGGAAAAGTTAAATAACAATATTTTAAAAAAACCAAAAATTTAATCATAATTGGTGAATAGAAAATTATATTAATAAAATGCTTATTTTTTTAATGTTTATTGAAAAATCAAAATTTGGGATGTTACTTCATTATTATTTATTTCTATAAGAAACCTTGAATATATTTATTTTATTGTCATCTGCATCAGTTTTAATAGGATAAGAAATATCATAAATTTTTTCTAATTTTGCTGTGCTTTTTGTACTACTATTTAATGTACTCCTATGAGAATTTTAAGTAAATTGATTCAATTAGTCTGTGTTAGAATCTTCTATTCTTAATCTATGTGTTCTTGATTCATATATATTTATTTTTTTATTTGCAATTGGTAACTCTATCTTAAAAGGATTCTAATTTATATTAGAATTTTTTATTTATTTAATATATTTGTTTAAAGTAAATTTATTGTTAAAGCTACTTTAGATACTATTTTACATTTTAGGTTTACGAGACGATAAGAGCATTTAGATCTACTATAATAGGGGAATAGATAATTACAAGAAACTAATACCTTTTGCAATTATTCACTGACAGTCGGTACAGAAGCAGCTAATTTTCCTCTATGTGTATTGGTAATGATCGCTCTTTAAATAATTTTTTATTTCAACATAGCTGGATTTATTTGTTCAGATTTATTTGCTTATTTGTTATTGTAACATAAGTACTTTATCTTCTTTAACCATAAAACTGTCTACTCAATTATAGATAATAGTCCTAATTATTATTTTACTTTAGAAATGTTTCTTCAGGATTAATTAATTAAGAATCATCTTTTTCCAACATAAAACTCACAAAACCATCTTGTTATTCAACTTATTATTTTTACATTATTAAAATTATTACGAATAAATTTCTTGTTTATATAATTAAAAAAGCACTATATTAATAGATATATGATAATTGATTATATTTAAAGTAATTTATATATTCAAATATAAATAATGCAAGCATACTTTTATGTTACTAGATATTTGTATTTTTTGGAATATATATTAAATATATTTCATCCATAATGAAATACAATATAATCTTAAAGATTTCTTATTATAGTGAAAAATAATTAATAAAAACATATATGTAATAGAATAGTTATAATTATATATTAATAATTTATAATTGTCTCATATTCGATCTTAAAAATTTTAATTTCCTTTTATTGAATTTAATAAAAAGTATTTATTTATTGAATTAAAAGATAAATTAAATGTTATTCTCTAAACAAATCGGAATAGAAAAATAAATTTATGAAAAATTCACATTTATGAGTATAATTTTAAAATAACTATATGAAATTGATATTATCAAAATGTTAAGTTGAATAATAGTATATAATAATATAAGAAAATCAAATAACTCTTCAATGTAAAAGTAATGAAATTTATATATTTTAATATTTGAGTTATTTTAGAGTTTTAACATTTAGAAAATTAATAATTAAGTAAATTCAATTAATAACATGATTGAATATATTCATCAATATATAAAAAATACTCATTTAATAGGTTTGTGAAGAACTTCCATTAGATTTGGGAACTAAAAAATTTGCTCTGCATGTTGAGTAGTTCCATAAAATATCCACTTATTAATTTCTTTAAATTCCCCTTTTATTACTCTTGTACCATCCTATTATTATTAAAATATATATAATGGTTTTGGCGGTATAATAATGTGTTTAGTTAATTCTCTTCCATGAATGACTACTTTATCGTCTTATGGTTTAAAATATTATTCACTTGGACACTCTCCTCCTTTGTTAATTGTACAAGGAAGAAAGTTTATTCCAATTTTATCGAAACCATCGAATTATTTATAATCCTTAATGAATTTTCTTTATTACATTTAATATATTAAAATTTAAATATTATTCATCATATTTTATTTTACTATTTCAACTAGTTTACAATCATTGAATATTTTGAATGATATTTATAGAATATAGATTAAATTTCTTTTTATTCTAAAGTGTTCATCTAATTATAATTAATTGATAAATATGGAAAAGGATTATTAATGCAAGGTTCTTTCCATATTTAATGTTCTAATAAACAATCAAAAATTGCATGTTTTTCCAACATTTATTCATCAGTCTCTTATTTCTCTGGACTTGGATATTAAAATTCATAAAAATAACTATTATCGCATTCACTTACAAATTTATTCTTTTATTATTAAATTGCACTTTTCAAAGGATCAAAATGTAATGAATCTATAAAAACAGTAACTTCATCCTCTTCTTAATATTTCAAATATCTATTTATACTATAAAGCATATAATATTCAATAGCTTTTTCAATCCATAACATGGTTGTAAATTCAAAAAAATAGTTCAAATTATTATATTTATTTAATAATGATTCTTCACAAAATTCTCTAAACATTTCTTGTACATCTGGTAATTACATAATTATTCCAATATATATTCTTTAGTAAATTTATGATAATCCAATCATATAAACCTTAGAGCCTTTTAAAACAGACATATACAATGCTTAAAATAAGCCAAATTGAGAAAAATCCACATTACTTTGTTGATTTCCATATAATAATGTTATTTCTAGTAATTATGCAAGCCTTTTAGACATATCATCACTCTCTTATATTAATTAAGGAGTAAGTTCTTATTATTTGTCTTTTTATTCTTGGAGAGTTTGGAAAGCTTATTAAAAATACCCTTATTTTTCTCCATTCAAAAATCCCAATATATCTTATTTTTATTCTGGACTCAACATAGGATGGGTCTTTATTAAATGAATTGAATCAAATATTGGTAAATCTATTTTCAATTCATTTGTATCAATAGGTAAAGTTGGTAATTGTTCAAATAAATTCTTTCATAATCTCGATTCTTACATCATTTAATATAGGATCAACTTTTGAATGATATTATTTATAAAGTTATCTTTTGGCAAATAAATATGGAGATGGATCCATTTATATTAAAAAGTTTGTTTTATCCTTATCCTTCAATATAATATTTGATATATTCTGAGTTAATTCATTTTAATCTCCTTGACGAGGTAATCCTACTAAATTACAAGTTTTTTTCCCAATTTCTAAAATATTATTATTCATCAAAATTACTTAGGCTTTCATGTAAAATACTTTTTTGATTGTATGTATTTCCATAATTTTTTATATAGTAATTTTGTCCAAACTTATTTAAAATAGATGTTCCTGATGTAGAAAATTAAAAACAATTAACTTTGCCTAAAGTTTTATAAATGTTCATAATTAATTATTGTAAAAATATAATTAAAATTAAACAAAATCAGCCAAAATATTTTGATTGAATTTCTTATAAGATAGCTCTTAACCTATATTCTAATAAACAATTATACAAATCTATTAATTATAATAGTTGAATTATTAAAATATACTCTAAGAAAATGGAAGCTATTTTTAATTATTTTAAATTTTTGTTCATTAAACATTATCATATAAGGTTTCATTCATTCAAATCCATATTTCTTTAAACAAATTTTATGATTTTCTATTTCTTTCTTACATTATTCTTCTCCATTTTAAATAATACACTCATCTCTCAATTATCTAGTTTCCGGGCATGCACAACATGCTTTACATTCTTCTTTAGGTTAAGTTTATGCTTATGCAGAATTGAAATTTCCCATAATAAATTATTTTTAATGTAGATAATTATTTTATATAATTCCTTCTAATAATGAAATTCATTCAAGAAAATTTAAGTTGTTGGACAATGAAGTATTGATTTAAAAAAATATCTATTTGATTACTAGACTTAAGATAAAGAGCATTGAAATTAGTATGCTTTATGGAAGATGTTATAAATATATATATAATAATATAAATATCTATATAAATACTACTACTCTATTCAATACTAAGATCTATCCTATAGTGCAAAACATATGAAACTTAATATTTGAGTTGAATGAATTTTTAATATTTTTTTCCTGTAAATATTTTTCTATTAACTTCAATAAAATTTTATATTTATCTAATAAAAATCAAGTCAACTTTTAAACAAATTTATTTCATATAGAAGTTTATATTATTGATTAAATAAATTTACCGATAATTTTGGATAAGAATTGAGAAGGAAATAGTGGAGATTGGCAATTTTTCAACTTTATTCTTTAATTAAACAAATTATCCAATCAAATTGAGATAAAATAATAAATTTGATTCTTATTCTCAGCATGTTATATGGTCAATAATAATAATAAAAAATCAAATGGGAAAACCAAAAGTTACTAAGAAGTCTGCAAAAATAGGTATTTTGTTTAGATGATAAATGAAATAGCTAAAAAAAAGATTACAAAAAAATCAACTGGTCCAAGACCCACAAGAACTATTTAAGCAACAGTTGCTTAAGCATAAGCTACCACATAACCAAGTGCTGGTCAAAGAAAATTACCAAGATAAAATAGAAGAAACAAATAAGCTAAAGGAAAATCAAATAAAAAAGCATAAAAAAAGTGAATGAAATATAATTAATAAATATTTAATAATATAATTCATAGATGTTTTTCAAGTAAAATTTGAAGTTATTAAAGCTTTGGCCGATTTTTTGGATTTGGTTAGTAACCAAAACTTGATAATTTGTTAAAGAAAGAGAATCTCACAATTGAGTGTATTTTTAATGAAGATGATATTCTTCAAGAATTAAAAGGAACAAGTTCTTCTAAGTTTGCTGATTTGTATAACATTTATGTAATTTTAGTTTAATTTAACATCCCTAAGAATATCTAAAGATGATCAATTATATAGTTGAAGAGATTCCTGATTAATGTATGGAAAAAAATAGATGTATAAAGTATAAATATATATATATATTATTTTAAGATACCCATTTTATGGAAGTGAGATATTGGGATCTGAAAATGAAAAATTAATAAACTTTTTATTTGAGAAACCAAGTGAATAGCCATCAGATGATGTAAGAAATCCAATTGAAGATGAAGAGACTGAATAAGTAGAGTAATTAGAATAGAATAATAATGCTTAAGAAAATGAGATAATAAGAGCAGGTTTATTGGATAATTTATTAAAATTGCTTGAGAGTGATGCAATAATAATTACAACAGCTGGATATTTTGCAAAGGTTGTGAATGCAATTATACATAAGAAAGGACATTGTGTAAATATTTATAAATAATAATAAGTTTTGGGAACATTTAAAACATTATCCAGATATCCTTTCAAATTTATTTAAACATGCTTATTTAAAACATATAGTGGATATTTTTGAAAAGTTGATAATATTAGAAGAAAATTTTGAATAATCAATTGAATATTTGAATGAAAGATCAGCTTTACTATAAAGATTAGTAGTTTTTCTAAAAGGTAAATAACATTCTTAGGTAATTGTTGGAAATATTTGTGAATTATTTGTGGAATTATATAAAAAGTCTATCAATTAATTTGATACTTAAAATTAAGAATTAAAAAATATGTTAGCATAATTTACAATTACAACAACACCATTATTTTTTATGAATTTAGCATTAATTACATAATAAAGTGTAGTCTATAATGTACTTAATGTTTAATTTGAATTTGTTAATAAGTATTATCTATCAGATTAATAACATGATGTTAATATTAATTTAATTTAACTATATAAACCAGTAATATAGTTATTAGAAAAAGCATTAAAATAAGTAGATAGCTTTAAGATACCATTTATATCTACAAATGGAGATGAAATTATACCTTTGGGAGATGCAAAATTATTAATAATTTAATTAATTATTTAATTAGTCAATAAATCAGAATTCTATTCATATTTCACTGCTGAATTATTTTCTTAGGTAATTGATCTTGTGAAATTATATCCTACTAATAAT